GTCCTGCCTCCCACGCCTCTGCTCTAACGGCACAGCTGCTGAACTCTGGACAGGTGCCCTCTCTAGGTGCTCGGCAACTTCTCCTTTCTGCTTCTCCAGGTGTGGCAGAGGAGAACGCTGGCCGGCATAGTGTCCTAGAGGTAGGAGTTGCCTGCCCTGAGTCACCTCATCCTCTTTGCTCTGCAGTGCTGCTTTCTGACACGCTTGGCCATGTGGGGGCAGAGGGGCTTTCCCCTACTTTCCAGGGTCTTTATCCTGTTCCCCCAGTGGAGCGCAAGCTATTGGTAGGGGGAGGAAACCCTTCACCTCCACCAGAAGCTGTGGGAGAAGGAGTTCCCTGCATCTTCCTTGTGGGGGGAAAGGCAGGTTTCCGAGGGCTGGGACAGCTTGGTACCTCACTGCTATGGCCAATAAAACAGATGTAGGTGACCCGGTCCAGAGGTAGGCCCTCGTCTGCTTTCTCTCTCCCACAATCTACCCCTCCTAGTTTCACGATGAAAACGCAATCTCTGATCCACTGATGGGTTCTGATGCTCGTGGCCGGGGGAGGTGGCCCATGGTGGCGAGTCTCCCAGGGCTGTAGGCCACAGCCCATTTCAATTCGACCTCATGGACTCAGAGGTGGGGTTTTTCCCCCTGAGGTTCATCTTTAAAACCATCACCATCATGTGAGAGCAGTACTGTGTCTTGGTGCCATGTGGCACAGAGGTGGTGGTGGCCCCTGGAGGAAGCTGGAAAGGAATTCCCCCCCCCCCATCATGGCAGGAGCGTGGCCGTTGCCTGCGAGCTGCATTTCAGGGGAGGACGCAGAGGCTGCACTGACATTAACCAGCTGATTGCCCCGTTTGCTAACCCATTGGCCATTTCCATCCCAAGGCAGGTCAACGCCCAGCAAAGGAGAAAACCCTCAAACCAGGATCCCAGCTCTTTTCCCCTCTTCTTTGTCTCATTGGCTTGCAGCCCCATTGCCCCTTCCATTTGACACACTTCCTCGCACTATAACAGCCCTCCCCTGCACTCCCCCCCCCCAGAAGCACCAAAATAGGCCCCTACTGTTGGCAAGCCCCTGCCTTACTATACAGCTTCTGGGGTGCAGCCTGTGAAGTCCTCATCCCTCCCCTCACTCGCTTGCTGCCTGTCGGTGTCACCTGCCCCTTGGCTGCTAAGGGGAGTGAGAGAAAACTCCCAGCTGAGCGAGTAAGGAGAGGAGGTGAGTGGGGAGGGAACTTGCTGACTTGTAGCACCGACTCCAGCAGTGCCAGCAGACCCTATCTGGTACAGCACCCCCTTCAGGATACCCAGGAAACTGACTACTCCTGATGTAAAAATCCATAGGACTGGCCAGTATCCTGGGGGCTAGAATAAACCAGTGTATTCCCATCGTCTCTTGCCAGCACCCATTTATCAGTGTGGGCCTTATCCCTTCCCTCCCTTTCCCTCTAACGTCACAGAGACTTTCGTTCTGGTCCTTTACCTTGAAGTAGACAGGCTCCACTTTGTGCTTGAGGGCATGGGCCTTGCCCACCAGGGCCAAAACAGATGAGACCTTTTCGGAGTCGTTGATGTTCTCCACTACGGTGTTAACAGCGCCCATGACCCGCCGGGCATGCTTGCGCAGCTGTGGGGTCCTCTCCATCTCCAGGGGGTCCTCCATGTGCTTGAATTGACTGAAGTACTGCTTGGCAGACGGGAATTTGACAAAAAACCTGCACAGTGCAGTTGGGAGAGAAGGAGAGGGAAAGAGAGAGAAGCCACGTGAATTTCAGTGAGAGGTGAAGTGGCTTAGGGCAATGGTTCTCAACCGGGGGTGCACATACCCCTGGGGTACGCAGAGGTCTTCCGGGGGTACATCAACTCATCTAAATATTTGCCTAGCTTTACAACAGGTACATAAAAAGCACTAGCGAAGATAGTACAAACTCAAATTCCATACAGACCATGACTTGTTTATACTGCTCTATAGACTATACACTGAAATGTAAGTACAATATTTATATTCCAATTGATTTATTTTATAATTACACGGTGAAAGTGAGCAATTTATCAGTAATAGTGGGCTGTGACACTTTTGTATTTTTATGTCTGATTTTGTAAGCAAGTAGTTTTTAAGTGAGGTGAAACTTGGGTGTACGCAAGACAAATCAGACTCCTGAAAGGGGTACAGTAGTCTGGAAAGATTGAGAGCCCCTGGCCGGGGGCTAGAGGAAAGCCAGTGAGGCAAGAGAGCTTGGATCTATTCCCAGTTGTGCCACATACTCACTGTGTGACCTCATGGCTTGCAGTGGTGTGGGGTTTCGTTAGTCCTGAGCATCTGCCTCTCCCAGTAATTCAGTGGGGGCAGTGGTGCATGGCCCATCTGCAAACCACGTTCTGGGAGCTTTCCCAACTATAACAGGGGCCTGTCAGTAAATACTCACCTGCCTAGCAGAGTGTCGGGGGTGGGAGGGCTGAATTTGTGATTGTCATTATTATATTGCTGTGGCTAATGGCCCCCTTGTGCTGGGCACCGGCTGCACACAACGCGAAAGATTTTTCCTGCCCCACACAGCTTGCAATCTGATATTTGCAAAGCCCTTCTCCCATCTGTGCAGAGCCCCCGGCAGACAGGTCTCAAACCGGTAGCCGTGTTAGTCTGTATCAGCAAAAAGAACGAGGAGTACTTGCCCCTGCACGTCCACACAAATTGAATAATTCTGCCCTTGGCCACCCCCGTGATTCCCCTGAGTTTTCACAGGGGGAACCAGGGGCAGCACTTGGCCCAGAGAATCCAGCCGGGGTTCACAATGGGAAGTCAAATCAGTCCTCAGAACGTTCCTGCTGGGGGCGGTGCTGAGCCCTGGGGCATCCAAGGGCTGTTGGGTCTCCAATGTGCCGATCCTAGGTTACTGCACCCTACAGGGATGTCTTCTTCATCCTGTGTTGGAGAGTGGAGTGGTTCCGGGGCCAACCCTCTTTCCCCGACCCCAGGAAAGGGGTACAGGAGACCCTCAAATCTGATGGGATTAAAGCCACGGGACAAATTAATCAGAACTGAAATGAAAGGAGTTGTGGTTGAATTGGCCACGTGGAGCTAAAACCTCGACTCCCTCTCCATTCCCCAATAGGAAATGAGCTGGGGAGGGGGAGTCGGTGTGTCTTTGCTGTGGTTATTTAAGAGTCTCACACACTCCTCCAGTTTGCTGGGGCTGCCCCAGCCCCTCATAGAAAGGGCAGCTCTGCTTTGTGCTGGTTTGCCTGGGGCAGGACCCCCAGGGCGCAGATCTGAAATGCTGCGAGTGAAAGGGAAGCTTTTGCTGAGCTCTGAGTCCACTTGCCATGTGCACAGGGGGTCCCGCTCCAAGCTGAGGAGAGGTGAAGGCTCTGTTATGCTAGGCTAGTGAATACACCACTTGGTAACAGAGGCAGAAGCATAGGGCGGGAGGAGAGAGAGTGTGTGTGTGTGTGTGTGTGTGTGTGTAGGAGT